TATATATATATATATATATATATATATATATATATATATATATATATGTATGTATGTATAGACACATATGCCCACCCACCCACCCATTAATATATATATATATTAATATCCTTTTGTCTCCATCAACGATTTTAGTTCTGCAGCGACAGAACTTAAGAGGGTTTCCCCAGGGGTCCATCCTGGGTCCCCTCCTATTCTCTCTTTACCTGCTGCCATTTGGTGCTATTTTCCGGAAACACAACATACCATTTTACTTTTACTCCGACGACTGTCAAAACTGTTCAGCAATTTGTAGACATACAGGAATATTTTGAACTGGATTCGAAAGTGAACTGGTAACCAGTGCAGTGAGGCCAAAACTGGTGTAATGTGCTCTCTTTTGCCTGTACTGGTTAAAAACCGGGCTGCTGCATTCTGGACCAGTTGTAGTCGTGCAATGGAGGTCTGACTGATACCAAACAGGAGTGAATTGCAGTAATCAAGCCTAGATGTAATGAATGCATGTATTTCTGTCTCCAGGTTCTTTTTAGACAATATGGGCTTCAGTTTAGACAGCCGCCTCAGTTGGAAGAAACATGATTTAACAATCATGTTTACATGATTGTTAAGTTTCAGGGAAGGGTCCATTATCACACCCAGATTAGTGACTCTTTGTTTTACTGACAGGGTTAGAGCAGAAAGGTCGATGCAGTGGTTTGTGATTGTGTCATTGGGAGGGAACAACAAGACTTCAGACTTCTTTTCATTGAAACTTAAGAAGTTTAAAGCCATCCAGTACCTGATGTCAGCCAGGCAGTCGAGCAGAGGTTGAACAGAGCATGTACCATTGTGTCTCAGGGGGAAGTAAATTTGACAGTCGTTGGCGTAGAAGTGAAATGGTATGTTGTGTTTCCGGAAAATAGCACCAAGTGGCAGCAGGTATAGAAAGAATAGGAGGGGACCCAAGATGGACCCCATGCAGAACCCCCCATTTAAACTCTGTCGCTGCAGAACTAAAATCCTTGATGGAGACACAAAATGATCTGTCAGTGAGGTAAGATCTGAACCAATTGAGGGCTGATCCTGTGATGCCCACCCACTGCTCTAACCTAGCAATGAGGATCTCATGGTCTATAGTGTCAAAGGCGGCTGTGAGGTCCAATAGGACAAGCAGCACAGAATCACCAGTATCTGTGAATCTGAAGATGTCATTAAAAACCTTCAGTAGGGCAGTTCCACTGCTCTGGAGAGGTTTAAAGCCAGATTGGAATAGCTCTAAGATGGCATAATCCTCCAGGAAGCACTTCAACTGGGGCTCAACTGTTTTCTCCAGTATTTTAGAAACAAATGGGAGTTTGGAGACGGGCCGGAAATTGGAAACGACTGAGGGGTCAAGGTTGGTTTTTTCAGGAGAGGCTGGACAGCAGCATGTTTAAAGGTTTTTGGCACCATGCCAGTGGATAAACTATAAACTTATTGAGCATGAACTTTGGTCTAACGCTTGTAAGAGCTAGCAAATCTCAAATGCCCTGATAAAACTCTGAAGTCCTGATAGGTTGGGTGATCAAGTGATGTGAATCCAATGTAGGCAGTCACTCATGATACAGTCTCAGCTTTTGGTGCGTTGAAATCAGCCAGCTAGCTTAGCAAGCACAGTGCATCTTTAACTTAAACTTAATTACCCTATATTGTTCCTTAGGTGAAAAATTGACCCTGTATGAAATCTGTTATGATGCATTTTCTGATAGCTTATTTTTCATATCATAAAATTGTACATTCCTGTCCTCATCCCTTTAGTTGGCAGCTCAGAACACCACATACAGAACACCATGGACTTTGTGGATAAGGTGAGGGATGTCATCATGGAGACTGATGAAACAATGGTCTCTTTTGATGTCACATCACTCTTTACGTGCATTCCTGTTGATGATGCAGTAGAGGTGGTCAGTTTAAGATTAAAATCAGACACCACTCTGAGCAGCAGGACCACGCTTTCCACAGAACAACTGTGTCAACTCTTGAAACTGTGCCTGCAGTCAACCTACTTCACATATGGGGAGCAATATTATAGGCAGAAACATGGGTGTGCTATGGGGTCTCCAGTTTCTCCTATTGTTGCCAACCTGTACATGGAGGAGGTAGAAAAGAGAGCCTTGACGTCCTTTTCAGGGACACCACCAAGTCATTGGTTCAGGTATGTTGACGACACCTGGGTTAAAATTAAATCTCAGGAAGTCCAACATTTTACTGACCACATCAACTCTGTGGATAAATACATCAAGTTCACACGAGAAGATGTAAAAAATGGCAAGTTGGCTTTCTTGGACTGTGAGGTCTCAGTCTCTGATAAAGGACATTTGCAAACCGAGGTGTACCGCAAACCCACCCACACAGACCAGTATTTGCAGTTTGACTCCCATTACCCTTTGGAGCACAAGTTAGGAGTCATCAGGACTCTGTATCACAGAGCAGACAGCATCCCACTAACTCGGGAGCCAGGCAGAAGGAGAAATCCTACACAAAACAGGCTCTAGAGCAATGTGGATATCCTAACTGGGCCTTCCTGAAAGCAGAGAAGAAACCCAAACAGGACTCCAGTCAGTCAACAGGTGAAAAGGAGGAACCCAGACCCAGACCAGTGGTCATTCCATATGTTGAGGGAGTATCAGAGAAACTGAGACGTTTATTTTCTAAACATAACGTCCCAGTGGCTTTTAAACCCCAAAATACATTACGGCAAAGACTGGTTCATCCCAAAGATCCAGTCCCCCGGCACAAACAGAGTAATATTGTGTATTCTGTTCAGTGTCAGGAGGGTGATCAGTCTTACATCTGGGAAACTAAACAGCCACTGGCCAAAATGATGGCCCAGCACAGAAGATCAACATCATCAGGCCAGGACTCTGAGGTCTACACTCATCTCCAGGCCCACGGTCACTCTTTCAGGGATGAAGATGTTCACATCCTGGACAGAGAAGAACCATGGTTTGAGAGAGGAGTAAAGGAGGCCATCTTTGTGAAAAGAAATCGTCCATCGTTAAACAGGGCTGGAGGCCTCCGTGTTCAACTGTTCCCCTCTTACAATGCTGTGATTGCTAGTATCACTCAGCCCTCTGTGAACAGTAAACAGCCATCAGGTGCTAATGATCCACTGTTAGGCTGATGGTCTTTCTTGAGCATGTGATCAGCTGGTTTTGGTTGTCAGCAGCAAAACTGGTTGATCCACTCTGAGAAGGTGCTATTTAAGAGATTGAGCTGAAAACAGCACCTCAGACTGAGGAAGTCTCTCGGATGAGAGACGAAACGTTTCTACATTTTTTTGCTTTGTTTTGTTTTTTGTTTTTTTTGAATGTCCAGAGGACCAGATTGAACTTTTTTGGATTTTTCTACCTGGATTATTGAGCATGCATCAGGATATTCCTTTCAGTAATTTATTTTTGATGTTGAGGTGATGCTTTGCTTTAAATTTGAAAGACCATTGTATAAATTGTCATCAGAGGGCTGCATCTAACGCTGAAGAGATGTGCCCATGTCGGCTGCAAGTTGTTGTTGAATCTGGTCTCGTCTGACAAAATTGTTTTAGTTTGGATGTAAGGAGCAAAGTGTTGTGCACAACTTTGCATTTGATTCAAAACTGTAGCATGTAAAACTGAAGCGTTGGGATGACGCCTGCTGGTTTGATCAAAAATATCGCATCATAGGTGGATGGACCGGACTGCCACTGCTCAGTCATCAGCTGGCTCATTGAAAGTAAAAAATGAAACATGCACTGGGATTATGCACAAGTAAATTTCTAGAGAAAAATAAAAGGGAAAAAAACATGTTAGACCACTGACAGATGTGTGCAAGGCATATTTTTCAACCACTGGTTCAGTAGGATGCTGTTCCCAAAATTCTTGAATGGATTTAAAGGAATATATCCCTAAAAATGTTTTTTTGTGTTAATGGAGAATTATTATTTTATTTATTTATTTATTTGTTTATAATTATTTTTCAAAAACTGCCTTTAAATACCAAAAAAGTCCATGCTCAATAATCCTTTAAATATAATGGCTTTAAATATATTTTAAAACTTTTTTTTAATGAATTTGTTAATTAAAAAAATTGAACTGAGGTTGTTTATTGTTTCGTAAATAAACGTTTACGAAACAATAAACCGTTAGAAATGGTTCGTTTCTAACCCTAACCCAACCACACCGTGCCTTTAACACGGTGTGATTTGTTTTGGTCCGGTCTGTTCTCTACTCTATTGGCCATTTTAGTTAGCTGCTGCTGTTTGTATCTGTATTTCTATTTTATGTTTTCCTGTCTGCTGTGCATGTTTGGTTCTTTTGTACAGCACTTTGGTTGGCCTTGTTGCTGTTTTAAGTGCTATATAAATAAATTGGTATTGGTATTGGTATTTATTAATAGAAGATTTAAAAAAAGTTGTTTAAATTATCTGTCAACATCTTTATTGCCTGCAGGCATGGGAAAACCATCTGCGCAGGAACCAGTCAATTGTGGTGGATCTGTTCCATGGTCAGCTCAAGTCTCAAGTGAAGTGCAAGACATGCGGTCACATCAGCGCTCGTTTTGACCCCTTCAACTTCCTGTCTCTGCCTCTTCCGATGGACAGCTCAGTGCATCTGGAGATCACCGGTAAGCAGGCTGAAGGAATGTTTCTACCACTACTACTACCACCACTACTATTTTATTTATAAATCCCTTAAAACACTTCCAAATACTTTTTATGGACAATATATATCAAGATACTCGGTGGCTCTTGGGACATGGAATGTGACCTCTCTGGCGGGGAAGGAGCCTGAGCTTGCGCACGAGGTTGAGAGGTACCATCTAGTGGTGTAACGGTGCATGTGGGTGTATTGAACCGTTTCTGTACAGTATGTTTGGTTCGGTCCACGTGCGTACTGTTTCGGTTATTTTTTCTCTCATTAAAGTTTATTAATGAGAGATTATGCGCCGCAGAAGTAAAGTTCCTAAATGTGTTTCATCACATTGCTATTATCTTATAGCACACAGGGGCGGACTGGGACAATAATCCAGGCCGGGAATTTTGATACCATCCCAGGCCACCACCACCTGATTAACGCAAACCACCAAGACTGAGTTCAATTGAGCGCACTTTGAATGCATGTTGTTTGCACACGTCTAACTGAATACCTACATAAATCTTTCTTCTGTGGTGCAATAATCCGTCCTCAAATCACATAAACTGAAATTATGTTGCCCTATATTTTGCTATGCATAAGCCTTTTAAAATCACTAGGAATATGACAGTCAATCATAGTTTCATACAACAAATGAGAGATCGTGTTGTACTACAGATGTGTTGTTTATTCTCCATCAAATCAAACACATTTTAAACATTAAACACATTTTTACTCACTTTTGTAAAAAAAAATAAAGTTTAAATAAAATATTGTAATACAAGGATTTTAATATTCAGATAATTTATTGGAGTAATGAAGGGTATACACAAAATATCCTCAATAATCCAGGTAGAAAATCTAAAAAAGTTAAGTCAGGTCCTCTGGACAGATTTAAAAAAAAAACAACTTGTTGAAACGTTTAGTCTTTAATCCAAAAGACTGTCAGTTTGAGAAGCTGCAACAAACTTAGTTTCAAATAGTCTCTTTTCATAGTGGATCAACCAGTTTGTTGCTGACATCCAGAACTAGCTGTTAACATGATAAAGGAGGACCATCATCAGCCTAACAATGGATCGTTAGTGCTCTAGGCTGTTTGCTATTCACAGGGGGCTGAGAGGTACCAGCAATAACAGCATTGTAAGAGGGCTACAGTTGGACACAGAGGCCTCTGTCCCTGTTTAATGATGGATGAGTTCTCATCACAAAGATGGCTTCCTTTACTCCTCTCTCAAACCAACACTTCTCTCTATCAAGGATGAGCACATCTTCATCCCTGAAAGTGACTGCTGGCCTGCAGATGAGTGTAAACCACAGAGTTCTCCTGGCCTGATGATGTTGCTCTTTGGCCCAGCACAGAAGAGCAACATCTTCAGGCCAAGACTCGGCAGTTCACACTCATCTGCAGGCCAGCAGTCACTTTCAGGGATGAAGATGTGCACATCCTTGATAGAGAGGAACTATGGTTTGAGAGAGGAGTAAAGGAAGCCATCTTTGTGAAAAGAAACCATTGTTAGGGGTTGTTAGGCTGCAGGTCTTCCTTATGTTAACAGCTAGTTCTGGATGTTAACAACAAACTGATTGATCCACTATGAGAAGAGGCTATTTGAAACTGAGCTTGTTGCAACTCCTCAGACTGAACTTAGTTTTTTGGATTAAAGACAAAAGTTTCAACAAGTTTTTTTTTTTATTTGTCCAGAGGACCTGACTTAACTTTTTTAGATACAAAAAAATCTGAATTCCTAGACATTTCAACATTAAACTTTTTTCAGATCCTAACCCATATTATAAAATTTGCAATATTCTTTGTAAAAACTTAAAAACATTTGTTATATTAAGTCAGTTTTGGCCCACTTAGGTCCCTCAAAGTGAAGCTAGCATGTGGATATTAAGCTGTGCTGATAAACTGTGCCAGAGTTCAATTTTTTCAACACAAGTGTTTCTCTTACCTGCTCCATTACGAACAAACATTAATTTATAGCACTTAGCAGCATCCGCGGCCAGAGCTTTTCTCTTTTTTATCCTCTCTCTCTCTGCTCCACCTTTCCTCTTCTTTGGCTGTCTCTGTTGCTCCATTCTACAACTCAGAGATGCACGCACCGCGCGCCAACACCGTCGAGAGCGCGAGTCCTAGGGCGGGGAGGGGGGCGGGCGCAATGTGTATGTGTGTGTCTCTGCTCTGTGAGTGACACACAGAAAAGGAAGGGAGGGGGCCGGCCCGGCCGGGGGATGTGCCAGGCTTTCTCCGTCGCTGCAGTGCAGCGTGAGACCTGAGCCCAGGCAAAAGTGAATTGTTTATTTAAAATAATAAAGTCCGTGCGACCCGAACCGAGCCTTTAGTCCCGTTCCTCGGCAACCAGGCCACCGGGAATTGTCCCGGCGCTCCCGATGGCCAGTCCGCCTCTGATAGCACACCTAGGGATTAGCAGCCTAGCAGGCAACGAACAAGCCATCTCGTTGTGGTCTCCCGTTTGGGAACATCATGGCTTTCTTGTTAAAAGACAAGTGAACAAATCCAAAGCTGTGTGTCAACTTTGTTTCACGGAGATTGGATCTGTCTTCAGGCAAGACTTCTAACTTGTTAACACATTTGAAACGACATCATCCAAATGTGAACATAGTTTGGTGTAAAGACCAATAACGGCAGCATTTAAACAACCTTTATCAGGTAATTCAGATCGGTTCAAAGCAATAACACAAGCTGTAGGAGTTTCTTCTTCGAAGAGAAGACAGGCTTTAGGTGAGCCAATTTGCCCTGTTGGCACGCACGCAGCTGGATATCTCATCAACTTGGAAGACTTGATGATGTGTCTATCTCTGCTGCCATATGTGGATTTTAAGGACGCATATTTAATTGGATTTTCGATAACTGGTTCTTGCTATTTTGGATTCGGCTGGCTGGTTTATCTACAATCAAGGAAGTCGTCGGCAGCCAATTTGGACCGATAGATACGATAGATGAAGCTTTTGTCCTTGGGTACTCATGTCCCAGGAGAAATTGATTGTCGGCCTGTCTCCGAGGCCGTCGGGAGTCTGATTTAGATAAGCTTGATTCTTGTTTTTCTTCAGGCAGAGATTACTTTTTTCTTCAGCCTTGAGTCCATCTGGGCGTTCTGGTTCCGAAAATGCCTGATTGTGGGATTCCATTCCACTGATCCATGCTATGAGTCTCTTTCAAGGTCGAACCCACCACGCTGACGAGTCCCAGAAGCCGCAAGTGGTCTGCGATTCTCAATCGCCTCCACCTTACGGTTAAGCTCGTAAACCAGACGATTTAAAGTTCCCAGAGCGAGGACCAGACCTTCACACTGACTCGGAAGCTTTTCCATGGCCGAAACTGCTGCCGCCGTCTTCTTCAAAAGTTGATAAAACAGAGCCCCACCGATGCCAAAAAGCAGAGTCCCTGCTATCATAATTCCAAATATGTAAACGTCTTCAACATCCTCCTGAGACAGGACTGAGAGACACATCATCTGCCACACTCCCCACAAATCCATGACGTACCCCACAGCATGAGTCTCAGCTGGACACGCCGGTTCTCCAGGACCTTGTCGCTTTGATGAAAAAATCTTATCAATAGAGTTGAACGCCCATGATACCAAATCCATAATCTTCTTAATTTATGTTCGGGAGATGAGACCCAGGTGCTTCAGACACACAAAGAGCAGAGCAGGAAGAAGGAAAAACAGGGGAGGAAAAACAGAAGCTGCCACCTTGATGAGAGCCTGGGAAGAAAAAAAAAAAAAAAAAACTACGACATCCCATCACGTCAACACTTCAGCCAAAAAGTTGTAGCAGCAATTTATGAAAAAGTTAAAACTGATCGTCAACAAGCCTGACCCCAGATTTAAAGCCCTGCCCTGATGATGAAGATGAGTGAGAGAAGATTCATTCAACCTTTATTTAGACAGGTTTATCCCATTGAGCCTCGAGGACTCATTTACAAGAGAGACCTGATTTCAACAAAGAATGATGAAAACAATAGACAACAGCAACAACAATAGACAAAAATAAAAAGGCATACAGATTTTATTTTATTTTTTTACATATAAGATGGCAAAAAATGTAACAAAAACAGCTAGATTATAAGGCAAATGTAGAAAACTAAAAACAGGAACATGTCTGCATTGGTCCCTGCCAGGAGTCCAACAGATTCTTAAAGTCACTTAGAGAGGTCAAGGTCGAGAGCTTCAGATCTTTTTGCAAGATATTCCAGGAAGCATGTTTGTTTACAAAATAAATGAAACTCTTATGAAAATAGTTCCAAGCAGAGTTCACGTCGTCAGTTAATAGAATACGATGCCAGTCAAAGTGCGATAAATCCCAGAGGAATGACTGTTTACAAAAACACTTCAAATCCCTTTTTTGAATTAATCTGGGTTTAGGGTGTGGAAGTTTAATGTTTCTGAGAGCTGCTATTACACAGTGACCACTTAAAATGTCTCCAAAACACCTATACCTTGGAATTTGTGAGGCATATTTGTTAGAAATAGGTCTAAAATAAAAGATTTTTCAGGACATTTATTATTCGGTCTGGTGGGAGAGTCGATGAGTTGGGTCAGATTAAGTGACGAGCAACATTCTTTGAATTTATCACGGGGGGTTGACTTTTTCCAGTTGAGATTAAAATCTATGGCAAGTAAAACCTCTTTGAATTGTAAATTAGTTATGAAGTCCATCAGGAAAACAGAGCCTCAGGTGTTGCTAAGGGAGGGCAGTAACGGTCCACTACAGATAAGATCTGGCCTCCATTAAAAGTAATGTTTACAGCTAAGGCCTCAAATTGGTTTGGGATTGTTTTGGCTGACACAAGACTAGAATCCATGGTTTTTCTGTAAATAGCGACTCCACCCCACCCCCCCTTTTTGTCGATTACAGCGATAGATGTTAAATCCATCAATTGCCAGGCCATTAGTCAAGACAGATTTGTTTAGCCAGGATTCAAAGTGTCAAGTTTTCTGTAAATAAAAAAAAAAAAAATCAAATCACCCT